CCTCGAGACTAGCCTGCTACTAGTCTCTATCACAAGACCTACACCATTTACTAGCAGAAGAAAACAGAAGAAAGAGAATAGGCCCGGGGGCTCGTCGAGCTCCCAAACTATAATATCCATGACTACAAAAAGAAGAAGAAACTGCACAGCAGGGTATCAGCAACAGGCCATATTTATAGCACACTTCAGATGCACATATGCCAGACTCTTGGAAGAAAAAAGAACTCCAAAAGGACAACCATGTGAACCACTACAGAGCCAGGACTTCAGTAAAAAATTAGATGTGACTAGACCATCACGAAGGAACAGTATATACCCAGAACAACCAAAGTACAAGATAAAGCATATCCAAGAGAATATTCCACAGCAGCAATACAACCCGTGAAGACACATTGAATTCTCCAACAACCAGAATGACAGCAGCAATAAGCAGCCGAACAAACAAATCGGAGACGTGTGAAGGATCACATACAAAATTACAGTGTCAAAGGATTACAGTTCAAAAAGAACTCGGACAGAGAAAAATTATAAATCTCATTGATCGAAGACAAATACAAAGGTTACAGACGGCCAAATAGGACCGGATAAACTCAGACATAAGATAGAGACAAGATTCTTAAATATTGCAACAAGGAACCTAGTGGCGGCAGCAGCGGCAGCTCAGACGCAGAAGAACAGATAGACCAGCATGATCATTACCAACCAAGCATAAGCCCGAGGGCTGCTCAACCTCACACACCAGCATATCTACGAATGAAGAAAGAATTGAAGAAGAATTTTCCTACTCAAGGCAGAACCACAACCAACAAAGAAGGTATTTATAGCAAACCAGAGGTAAATAAGGCTAAAGATCACAAGAAAGAGAGAGGAAAAGAACAAAAGAGCAAAGCAACAAAGGCGAATAGTACCCAAAAGCAAGATTCCTAACAAAAAGTAAAAGAAGATGCTCAACCCGGAGGACATCAAGCAAAAGTGCACATCAGTCAAAAGAAGAATCAAAGAAGACCATCTCAAGATTTCACTTCAAGAAGGACCCGGATCAAGACTACAACAACTCGGCCCTTGAAGCTCAATCATGAAATGCTCGGGGGCTTGTCGATGGGGAACCCTACGAGCCCCCCATAGACCATACTGCAGGGAGGTAGGCCTTGGTAACAAGGCCTACAGCCCAATCGCCAAGAAAAACCCAGAGCAAAGCAACGTGCAAAACCGAAACTCCAACGCAAACTATACAAGGAAAGGCACCCGAAGCGTAGCTTAGGACTCTGACCTTGTATCCGAATAGGACACAAACAACGCCTCTCAGCGCCTGGACTATAAAGGGCTGGTGAGGGTACCCATTGTAAGGAGAGAACGCATACCCGATACTCAAAGCAATACAACGCAAACAGGCTAACGCCAAAACTGGACGTAAGGTTATTACTCGACCAAGTCGAGGGCCTGAACCAGTATAAATCGTGAGTCTCTTTGCGTAACCGCTGAATTTCGCTATTCGCCGAAGCCCGAACAACTGTCCCGGGTACCCCCGTGGCAGGCTATCGGTGGTAAAACATCGACAGTGATTAAGCAAATAATGATAACCAATGATCATTAACAACTTCCATAATGTCATATCCATTATAACTGTCCAAGTGTTCCATCAACATTACTACGATGAAGTAACTCAAGTCAAGTGTTCACTATCCAGTGAACGATGGCGATTCGAATCGATTATTAACCAGCTAGTAATTTATTCCTTACACAAACCTCACTCACCCGCTAAAGTGAGGTATCGGTCATCGAGTCAACTATCCAGGAAAAATCTCGAGTTTGCCAGGAACCACATGTACCTGGGGGCCGACCGACTGCCTTTCAGTCTTATCATCGCGCCCCCGTGTCCTACCACACATGCTCCGGTATAGTGCGCTGCGGGCAATCCACTCGGCCCGAATAATCTTCCAGCTTCATGGTCGAAAGGTACGTTATTCGGCCAGCTAAATGTAAGGCATGCGTTCAACATGACCCGAGGCCCAACAATGGTCGGTCCTTAATCGACAAAGACGAAAAGTACTACAGTCCAAAACCCTGTAAGTCTCCATCTAGTCTCAACTTTAAATTAACACTTAGTTATACCATGACTACATAGTTATCCGAGCAGATCGAGGTAACCACCTATAGCTCGCAGGTGACAGGAAATCACCCGACTTCTACCGGTCTAAGCCAGCTAAGCATTGACTCAACTGCGGATACCAGGGTTACAAGGATATAGTATAACAAAGGTAAACAAGGTATAATGCAGCAACGGTTGCAAACAACTCCTGAACGTAATGCATCAATTAAAGAAAAACGTTAATTAATAATAACAAACCGGGGAGAAAAATGCTCCGAGGCTTGCCTCTCTCGAAGGAGCTCGGGCGGTGATCGGGGCACTCCGGAAGTTCCTCAACGTCCTCCTCGTCTGCTCCAGTCACTTCTTGCGGCTGCACCTCGAGCTGCTCCTCGGGCTCCTTGGGTACGATAACTGGGCTCTCGGTTTGCGATCCTGTATGATGCGGTGCATAAGTGCTTATGCAAAAGGTGCATCGGATGAAATGAATACAATAAATATGGTTGCATGCAAGGTAGATGAGCATGATTCGCTTTAATGGGGAGAGTATAATACAAATCTCATACAAGGTAGTCAACATCATCCAAGAACATGTACTACAAGCACATGTCATCTACTGCATTCTCTTCTACTACTAATATGCTAAGTCAACACATCTCATTAAATGCTTTAAAGATACACCAAAGCTTCACTAATTTCTTAATCATGCATAAAGCAACATTTGATTAAACCACAATTAATAATAGGTTTGAATAGCAACACCTATTTTTATAGCATAGAAAAATCTTAGAAATTTACCATAGCACAGTACTACCCTAAGTAGTCTACCATCAAATTTTCATGGCATTTGGATAAGTGGAATAGCCTACACAAAAATGACAAGCTTGGACCTAAATATGAGCATGAAAATACTTTGTATTATGAAAAGTGTCAAACAATAGATTTAGTATTTTTCCTAGGTTCTAAATAGTAAATAATCACTGTACAAAAATTATCACATGCATGTTTTATACAAATTTTGCTCTCTAGCAAAAATAACAAAAATCAGCCATTAAAGGCACTTGAACTACACCTCATAATTTTTCTACAGGACATGCCTGGCATATATTTTTCCTAAAAATTACATTACACAAGAAGAGTAACAAACTTGAAATCATATTTTTCTGATCTTTCTATGATTTATTATGCCTTTCTCAAGAAAACAACAATTTCAATGATTAAATAAAACTCCACAGAAAAGTGTCACCAAACTAACATGCAATATTTTTAAACCCTAGATCTAGTCATGAGGATCACAACAAAATTTATTTCACCATTTTTGGATCTACACAGCTCCACTTATCTATTTTCAAAGATGCACATAAAACAGAAAATAAACGAGCTAGCTTCTTTACTACTGTCGCTGATAGGCGGGACCCGCCAAACAGTGACCCCACTTGTCAGCGAAACGGAACAGAGCAGCGGCGCTGCATAATCCATGCGCGGCCAGAGCTCGTCGACGGCGAGTTTGCCGGTGGTGACATCTACACGGGACAACCCTTACGACCTAACGCATCGATTGCACTACTTGGCTGGCCCTCTCATCGGCGCTAGTGACGACGGCGGCGACCATGGTGGCTCAGAGGAGCGGGACGGCTGTGGCACGCCGGAGGAGGCCAAGGCGGCTCAACCTAAAGATCGGATGAGCATCAATGAACTACGGTGGACCTATTGCGCGCTCTAACATGGCACGCGGTGGTCGGAGTCGGCCGGACCACGGTGCCGGAGTGTGGCAGCGGAGCAACGGCGAGCTCTTGTGCGGTGCGGTGGCTTACCGAGCGTGGTCAGCGAGCAAGGGAGGATGCGGTGAATCACAGGAGTGATGGTGGAGGGGTTGCGGTGGTGGAGAAGCGAGGCGAGGCAAGCTGGCGACCGGCAATCGACGGCGGTGAGCTGCGCTGCTGCTGCGGTGCGCGCACAGGCGAAGGAGGAGGCAAAAATTGGAAATGAGGGCGCGGGGAGGGAGCGGGCGGACGCTGGGGTGTTAAGGCGCGCACTGGCCCGTCTCTGCCGCGCGGGGTAGGACGCCGGCGACGCGCGGCCGCTGCTGGCCTCCACGCGGCGTGCGGGCTCTGCTTCTATCGGCCACCGAGTTGTTCGTTTCAGCCGATTTAGAAACCGAATTGGATGCTTGACAGCGGGTTGTGCAATCGAATTAACTAAAAATCCGTGGCTCTGTTGTGCAAACATCCTAAACCGAATTGGTAGACCTATGTACCAGCTCCAATTCGTATTCAATGAACTCGTGCTAATTCGCAACCAAAACCAAGTTATATCATCTCAAAGTTGGGCTGTCAGCACTGTCAGTGTACCAGACTTAACCAGATTTGCTAAGTGTTGAACTCAGTGATTTATTCATTTTTGTGAGCCCCAAAAAGACTAAGCTATGCACTTCATTATCTCCTGACCCAAAAATAATAGTTGTTCTCCATATCAAATACTACAACTTTGCTTTAGTGACCACCTACATGCAAAGTCTCTAGCATATGATTCAAACTTGGTCAAACATGCTTCCTTAAAAAGATGACTCATACATGAACTATGACTTAGTGACTCATTTAGCCCTAGCCATGAATACCAAAGTTGTTCATAATGATACTCTAAACATGTTTAAGCTATTTGCAAGGTCACACAATCATTTACATGTATTCACTCATGATCATATGCTTATATTCTAAGAAACATGAAATAACAAGCAATGTTGCATATGTTTCAATCTCATGTTTCAATTGTAAATGCTCATATATGAATGCTCGATGCTCATGCTCATGCTATGCAAGTCAATTTATGCAAGGCTAACACCTAGGGTGTTACAAAGTATACCTTGTAACACCTGAGTCTGGCCCTGGTATGGAATTGCCAACCACTTCAAGGCCTAGTGAACTTGCATTGGGCTGTAGGACTCTAGCCAATCCATGCCTAGAATGGCATCGAAATTACCCAAAGGCAGTACCCTAAAATTAGTGTGAAAGGAGCAGGAGCCCATTGTCCATTGAACTTGGCGAAGCAGCAAGGAACTCTGTAAAACACCTCCACCAGCAACTTGCACACAGCTAGAAATAGAGACTGAATCGAGGTGTTTTAACTGAACAACTGTAGTGTCACTGATAAATGAAGATGAGCTCCCTGAATCCACCAAAATACGCACTAGAATACCTGACATGGATCCCAATAGCTGGATAGGAGCAACAGGAACCCTAGACACAGCTGACTTAGATATGGCTAGAAACACTTGCTCAGTTGGTTGATCATCAGATGTTTCTGCAGCTGGCACCACCTCAGGATCCAGTGATTCCCAAAGAGCTTTGACCGCATGCAAGACCTCTGGTGCGCACTGGTGATCCTTACTCCACTTGGCGTTGCACTTGTAGCATAAGCCCAGGGCTCGACGGTATGCTTTGACAGTAGCCAGAGCACCAGTTGCCGAAGATGTGGCCGTGGCCTCAGCAGTTGCAGGCTTCACCACGGGCTTGTCAACACGAGGTGGAGGAGGAGGTAGCGGCAGCGTGGTCCATGGTTTCGGAGACCACTCAACCGGTGCCGACAAATGGAACGATGACTGGGCGCCCGATTGGCCCGCGACCTCCTCCTGCACAAGAGCCATGCAAATAGCAGCATCGAGTGTTTGTGGCCTAGAAACCAGAATCATAGCTTTGAGGTCGGGCCGAAGGCCATCGATAAATCTCATGGTATAAAACAGGGGATCAGTAGAAGCTGAATAGGATTTGAGGCGATCGATTAAGACGGAGAAACGCTCGACATAATCCAACACTGTAGAAGTTTGTTTGATGTGAAACAATTGGTGAATTAATGCTTCCTTCTGATCGCGATCAAAGCGATCGTGCAAGGCTTGACAGAAGGATGTCCAATTGGCAGTAGCTGGAGTGTTTTTGATGGATTCGTACCGGCCTACAGCGGCACCTTCCACATACATGGTGGCGACGCCAACCCAAAGGGAGGGATCTACGGCATACATGGTGAAATATCGTTCCCAGCGAGAACGCCAGAGGCGCGGGTTTTTGCCATCGAACTTAGAAAATGGAAGTTTAGGGAGGCGTCCAGTTGGGTGTTGCAGGTCATTGGTGTCATGAGGAGTTGGGTGGCGGGGAGTCAAAAGTAGTGGATGAGGAGGTATGTAGAGCGGAGGGGGACGCGGTGGATGCGGATGTGGAGGATGGTGTGGAGAAGGGACGGTGGGGCTGGTGGCCGGTGCGGAAGCGGAGGTGTCGAGCGCGGAGGAGGTGGAGGAGGAGGAGGATCTGATTGCTTACCCATGACCGGGACATGAGTCCAGACCGCCCCGGTCCCGAACCCACCATCCCGGTGAGACGATGCATCGCCATGCCCACTAGGCGCAGATGACGAAGAGGCGAGAACGGCGGGCCATGGAGGCAAAACGTCGAACACCTTCGAGTCGCGACCTTGGGTCAGTTTCTGCATCTCGAGCCGTAGGTCGTCGACGAGCGTCTCCATCTCCGGGCGCCAAGTACCGAGGTCCGTGGAAGCTACCTCGAGGGCGGTGACGCGGTCGTCACGGTCGTCGGGAGTGGGGTCGATGTGGACGACCTCCAAATCGGCGATGCGCTTGCCGATGGTGTACGCCGTGTCGGTTCCCGCGATCTCGATGGAATCGAGGCGTTTGTCGACAACGGCGTCGCGGGCGGTGCGGGCAAGCTCGAGATCAGCAAATCGCCGCTCCCATTGCTCGTTGTGCTCGTCGAAACGGCGCCCGAACTCCTCCTTGGACTTCTGGATCTCCTCCAGAACCAACTTGAGATTCGGATCCATGGCTCCCAGAGAGCGTTGCAGATGGGTAAAGTGGGGATGAGGAGGATCGGAGGCCAGGACTCGAACAAGAATCTGATACCAAATGTAAGGAGTAATTACTACGAACAAGTAGGAACACAAGAACAGAATAGTCTAACGGCGCGATGGCCGGATTCTGAGACTGAATTTAGGTTTTCGGTTTTCTCTCCATGACCCCTCTCTCTCTTCATGGCTACTATATATTACAAGGACTCATACTCACCACATTGGGCCGGCGAATCTTGTACTGGGCCGTCGCAGCCTTCTGGGCTGGTTGTCCGGAGCAGCTTCCTCTTCAGACCCGGGCACGCCTTCTTCTCCTGTCAGTGGCAAGGGTGGAGGCAGGTTGCTGACACAGTCGTGATTGGCAAAGCTCCATTACAGCATGTCGCCGAGGTGTCAGTTTAAATTTGCTGTTTCTTTTTTTTAGATAACAAATTTGCTGTTTCTGAATGATAGTCTCAACAATCCTGTCTTTAGACGGTTGATTGATCAATGTAGAATGCAGGAGTTTAAATTTTTCTATTTTATGAATGACAGTCTGCTTTTTTGTGTGTGTGTGGATTTTTTTTTGGGGGTGGGTAGGAGGTAGGGTTCCATTCATCCTGAGATGTTTTAGGTTGCACGGCCAGCATGAAAAAGCATGTCACCGAGGTGTTGTAACTTGTAACACGAGTATATCTTCATATTTTTTGTTTAAAGAACCATCTGTACACGCTACCTAGATTTGGTCCTTCATCTAGCTACGCCTGCAAAGTCGCTAGTCCTACCAAGACCACACTTCTCAGCTCTCACCAAAAAAGAAGCGAAGATCTCGCATAAAAAAGAAAAAGAAAAAGAAAAAGAAAAAGCGAAGAAGCACTAATCTGGATCATTCTTTTGGCATCCTGATCAGCACTCAATTCTCTTTGCGGTCAAAAAAAAGAAGATGCCCCTCACATTTGATTGGAGAGAAAAACCAGTGCGAACTTTTTCGCAAGTGCGCATTGACCTCTCTGCCTTTCGGTTTTGCACCGTTCTTCAAGGCAGGAGGAGGACGAACGTGAGCTGCGGCCCGCAAGGCACAACCGCGCGTGGACAGGGCAGGGGGTGAGTCGAGCCGGGGCCGGGGCCGGGGGAGTTCACGTGGCCATCGGGTTGGGCCCGACAGCGAACCCAGGCCGTGTCCGCCGGCGACGTGTCGCGGCGCGGCACGTTGGAACGGCAGCGGCGGTTGGCAGCGGGCTAACGGTAGCCTGACAAGTGGATGTCAGCAATTACACTTTTTTTTTCTCGTGAAGTGGATGGAGTCTGGAGTGGTGGTGGCATGAAATTCTTCCGTGCAGGCTGCGAGGGAATCTGACGCCTTGTTTAGTTGGACTCTAAAATCTAAAAAGTTGTTATAGTACCTGTCACATTGAATGTTTGCGGCCCATGTATGGAGTATTAAATGTAGACGAAAATAAAAACTAATTGTACAGTTTGGTGGGAAATTGCGATACGAACGTTTTGAGCCTAATTAGTCCATGTTTAAACACTATTTGCTAAATAAAAACGAACATGCTACAATAGCCCCAAAATTCAAATTCACCCAACTAAACAAGGGCTGATTGGGTTCCCACTTTTCTGCCCTAGATGCTGGTTTGCCGGATCTCTGCCGTCGGCAGATGAGCTGCTACTTAAGGGCTTGTTTAGGTCCTAAAAAGTTTTTTAAAAAGTGTTGCAGTAGTTATCACATCGAATCTTACGATATGTGCATAGAGCATTAAATATAGACGAAAAAAATATAATTGCATAGTTTGGTTGAAAATTACGAGACGAACATTTTGAGCCTAATTAGTCCATGATTGAACACTAATTATCATATAAAAACGAAAATGCTATAGTAGCCAAATTCCTAAAATTTACGAACTAAACATAACCTAATAAAGAATATAGGAGTAGGAGATACTCCTACTACATCTGAAAATAAGCCCTTGTTTAGTTCCATGAATTTGGATTTTAGGGCTACTGTAGCATGTTCGTTTTTATTTGATAAATAGTGTTCAAACATGAACTAATTAGGCTCAAAACGTTCGTCTCGCAATTTCCCACCAAACTATGCAATTAGTTTTTCTTTTCGTCTACATTTAATGCTCCATGCATGGGCCACAAACATTTGATGTGATAGGTACTGTAGCAACTTTTTAGAATTTGGATTCCAACTAAACAAGGGCTAAAAAGCTTTACTAGAAGACCACCAAAGAGATAGTACTGTACTAGTATGAGATAAGGTTTCGCTGGGGTACGCATTATTTTGTTGCCGGCGCCTTTCTCGGGCACACCGTACGGGTACTGTTGCTCCATGTGGGGCTACAAGCCTACACCAACTAGCAGCTGTGCTCTCGTGCCGTGGCCACCGGCTCACCCGAAACCATCACGTCCGAGCGGCCGGACCGCAAGCGCGCGCCGAACAGAGCGCGGGAACCGTGGGCGGGAAGCCACGCGCGGGAACAGTACGTGGGACGGCGGGAGACCAGGCGCGGGAGGCAGTTACGGTACGTAATGTTTCCTTTTCTTTCTCGTATTCTTTTCTTATTTATTTTTTCTTTTGTTTTCTTATTATTGTTTTATTTCCCTGCTTCTATTTATTCTTTCTTTTCTTTTCTTTTTTTAGTTTTCTATGTTTTTCATTCTTATTTTATTTCCTTTCCTTTTCTTATTCTTATCTTATTTTTCTTTACCTTTTATTTTTCTTTTGATTTCTTTTTATTGTTTTCCTTGCTTCTATTTATTCTCTCTTTTTCTTTTCATTTTAAGTTTTCTATGTTTTCATTCTTATTTTATTTTTTATTTTTATTTTTCTCTTTTCCTTATTCTTCTCTGATTTCTTATTTTTCATTTTATTTGTTTTTTCATTTTATTTTTTTCTTCCGTGCTTCATTTTCTATTTTTATTTCTTTTTATGTTTTATGTAATTTTTTTTATTTTTTATTTCTTTTATATTTTATGTTTCTTTATTTTTATTTTTTACTTCTTTTTCCTTTTTTTCCTTTGTTTTTATTATTTTTTTATGTCCGCGTGTTATAAATTTGATGTTCTATTTTTATCTTTTCTTTTCTTTTTTCTTTTGATTTCTTTTTATTTGTTTCTTTTCTAATTATGTTTTTTTATTCATGTTTTATATATTTTTAATTGCGATGTTCGCGTAATATACACGTTATGTTCTGTGATGTTTTTTTTTTCATGTTCACGTGGTATGCATGTAAATGTTCTATGTTGTATTTTACGATGTTCACGTAATATACATGTGATGTTCTCATAGTATATATGTGATGTTCTAGATGTTTTTTTATGTTCACACAGTATACATCAATATACATGTGATGTTTTATGATGTATTTAGTGATGTTCTATGGGGTATTTAGTGATGTTCATTTAGTATACATGTGATATTTCTATAGTGTTTGAAAAGTATCCATGTAATGTTCTTTTCAAATTTCTCTATTACGTTTTATTTTTATTCCTTACGCTTTACTCTAGATTTTATTATTATTTATTAATGTTATTTATTTATTTATTTATTTATTTTTATGTATATTATAATACCAATATCATGAACCTAAAACTAGAATACTGTTCTTCTAAACCGAGAACATTTTTCTTACGAAGATGGAACATTATTCTCTGAACCTAGAACATCGTCTCTACTCAATAAAAAAATATTCTATCTTCATAAGATAAATGTTCGTTAATAAAAATCTATGTAAATATATCCATATGAAAATCTTGTTTTGAATGATTTATTGTAAGAAATCTGATGGTGTAATCGGAAGTTAATTTTGAGGTTTCCTTTAGCAGTTATGATTTTTTAGTTCATGCATGCGCTAATTAATTGCTAGAGTCGAGAACCGCACGCGCTTCATTTTCTATGATGTTATATTATGTATTTTGTAATGTTCGCGTAGTATATAATGATGCTCTATGGTGTATTTTGTGATGTTCGCATGGTATATACATGTGATGTTCACATAGTATATATACGGTGCGTTGTGATATATTTTGTGAGTTCACGTAGTGTCGGTGTTTTTTGGAACACCGACGAGTAAATTTGTATTTACGCGTCAGGCTCGGATGGTATGCTCGAAGGACACAATGGTTTATACTGGTTCGGACGGAACGTCCCTATGTCCAATTCGCTGCTGCTCGTGTTACCGGTACTTGGTTTGCAGTAGGAGTTACAAACAGGCGAGAGACTGAGAGGATCCCAAGTATCTGGTGGAAGGAGTAAACGGGTGCTGAGAGCTCGCTTGCCGCTCAACCGTGTGCTCGTATCGTGCTCTTATGTTCCGATTCGTTTGTCCGGGGTCCCCCGGTAGGGGCGCCCTGCTTTCCCTTTTATAGACGAAGGAAAAACGCGGGTTATAGTAGATAAAAAGGAGAAGAATGAGAGAGAAGAGAGAGAAGAAGGCTTCTAAGGTCGCCGGGTCCTTCTTCTCCTTCATGCGGGTCCCATCGATCCTCTAGATGTCAACACAGACGGCTTCACGTCGCGGCCCTGTTCGTCACAGGCGCCATGCACAGGCGTCAGCTGCCGTTAATGGTTCCCACTCTGTTCCGGCGGACGTCGTGGTGAACTGACACGCCTGTCAGCGTCCGTACGAGGGTTAGACAGAACAGTACCGGCACGCCCGACACTGTTCTTGATGTGAATCGTCAGGTATGGCCCGTTATGGCCACGGGTTACATCGAGGCGTGCTAGCCTCTTTCCTAGTGTTAGAGTTTTGACCCAGACCCATACGCTTAGACATGGAGTGGTTGGCGGCGGTATGGGTCCCCATCGGATGAGACGAAACCCACGTCCTTGGGGTCGAGCGAGACAGAGCATGAACCCAAGAGGTCCGGTGAGTCGGAGCCCGCGGCCTGAGGTCGGGCGAGACGGAGCCCGAACCTGAGGGATCGGGCGAGACGGAGCCCGCGTTCTTAGGGTCGGGCGAGACGGAACCCGCACCTGAGGGGTCGGG